AAACCAGCTGCTATTATTGACAATCAGTAAAGATCAAATTCGATTGACAGCAACAAAAAACTTGACTTGTAGTTGTAGTCTTTTGACGTCTGTACACGTTTTTGTTAATATAACTTAATTGTAAAGTTGTTAAGTTTTGCGTCTATACAAATAATCTTAAATGCTGTTTGTTACCAGGCTGAGAAGTCATTTTTCTTATATTGTAGATGTTTATTATAAAGAGAAAAAAATAAGCTGGCTTGTTGGCCGAGTGGTCGCAAGTGCGACTGCCGGGCAAGGGGTCTCGGGTTCGATTCCCGGGTCGGGCAAAGTATTACTGGGTTTTCCAAAAAAATCACAGTAGTTAGTAGCACGGAGTCTGGAATTGTGCCCGGTATATGGCAATAGGCTCACCCCCTATTACATGGGACTCATAACATAAATAGTGAAAAGTGGGTATTATGTTTTACAGTGGAATTAAGTGCACCTCTGCCTATTCCTTCGGGGATAAAAAGGCGTGATGTTATGTTATGTTATTATAAAGAGAAAACATTATTAATTGCTTATTTTGGTTGCTGTATATAGGTTCCATGTTGTGATTCTCACCACGGATGGGGCCTATAGAGCTGATGCCGAGACGGAGCTGCGGAGGACTTAACGGGTTGCCGGGGCTCTAGCTCGAAGTAATTTTAGTAAGTAAGAGTCTGTCATTCCCTCCCGCCTCGCCCAGATGGAAGAATTCATTCGATGATTTTCCCCCGTTATAAAAAAAAATGCTGTGATTCCGAGCCTACTGGACCGAATTGAAAAATTCTTCCAATATTAGATATATAACTTTTGATATGATGACACAAAGGTATAGATCAGGTTCGGGACCTGCTCAAAGATTTTCTTAAATCCACCTGAATAAAGCTGTTGGCGGAAAGCAAATACGAGTCTATAATAATATGTATAATGTACATGCATTTATGCATAATATTGTAAGTAGGTACAGAAATAAATGGCGAAAAAATAAATGTCATAAAATTGTATTCACATTTGCAATTTTCATACCAGAATTCCAGTAAAGCGATAACTTAAATGTTTTGTTATTTTATCAGCTAGTATTTTATTTAAAACGTTAATTTTATCGACACATTATATAGTCTCGATAAAATATATTAAAGCGTTACTAGTGGAAATACAAGGAAAAACAATGGACAATTGGATATTTATACTTAATTATAATTATACGCTGCTGGAATATAGGTAAATACTAATTGTGGATTGTTAATTTTTTTCTTAGAATTACTAGATAATAGTAATTTATACATTCCTACATGTACTAACAATTTTGTTCTTGAAGTGTAGACAAAAACTACAATGTAGCAACTGGTAATTGGATATTACTTATGTGTGTATTTATTTGGTTTCCTTTACGTTTCCCTGGTGATACAATCGCGCCGGTTGCCAAGCCATTTATAATTTGGTTAAACGAAATACAAGTTACAAGTTCTAGACGAGATTTTAAAAATAAGAACAACCCTTCCATCCCTGCAAGGATACCTATGAAAACGGGCGATATTAAACATAGCATCCATATATCACCAGTTATGTTACGATATGATCTTAATGTAAGTAGATCGTGGGCCTGCGGACGGCGAGCATGGGTGGCTCCCCGTCCGACCAGAAACAGACCCGAGCGTACGGCGCGTCACGTCCCGCGCGCGCCTCAAAGAGCCATCGACCACCACAGATGGGGCCTAATAGGGCCGATGCCGATTCGGAGTCGCGGAGAACCTAACGGGTAATCGGGGTCCGGCTCGACGTGCAGGAGAAGGAACGGGGTGGTTTTTAGTCAGTAAGTCTGACACTCCCACATACTATACTCAGTTCCAGAACCCAATACATACTATCACATGCTCTCTCTTGCTCGATGCACATACGACTAGAGATCTTTAAAATCTGGCTATTTAGCCAGTTAAAACTAAATTATAATTATTGTTACTTAACATAACATCACGCCTTTTATCCGCGAAGGGGTAAGCAGAGGTGCACACTATGCCACTGTAACACCCACTTTTCATTATTTATGTTATGAGTCCCATGTAATAGGGGGTGAGCCTATTGCCATATACCGGGCACAATTCCAGACTCCGTGCTACTACCTACTGAGAATTTTTAAAAACCCAGTAATACTTCGCCCGACCCGAGAATCGAACCCGAGACCCCTTGCCCGGCAGTCACACTTGCGACTACTCGGCCAACTAGGCAGTATTGTTATTTAACAATAATTATAATTTAGTTTTGAATGATTTCAAGTGAACGTCGCGGTTGTAGGAGGTTAATCCGTTGGAATGTTGCAATTGTGGACAATCAGCCTAATTGTATTGCGTGTGTCTGTCTGGCCAGACATACCAACGACGGCCCCTTAATTGTTTAGGGGCCACTCCAATTACCGAAGATGAGATGTCAACTCGAAGCTACTTATTATATTTTTTATTGCTAACTGTTTCAGAAGTTCAAAAGTGGGGTTAAGTTTTAAGAGTTTTTTATGTATTAAACTGTCAAACACCAAGCGGTCACCGGTGACCGCAACCTATTGTTCTATAATTGTGTCTACAAAACCGGTACTCGACGAGTTAGTATATTATTTACTCAATATGAGGCTCGTATTGGCATAGCTTGTATCAATTCATTATGGAGTAAAATATGTAGTTAACTATCTCCAAAAAAAACATATTGTCCCAATCGGTTATTTTAAACATGTTCAGACTATGAGAACACAGACAAGGTTATTTTAGTTTACATTATCGTTTATTCTGAGTGAATCGATTGGGCCAAGCATGCGAATTGATACCTTTGTGTGAAAATATAGTGTGCAAAATAATAATTTTATGAATACAATATTCTTGGTGGCCAGTCTACTCTACCCACTTCGAGGCCCAATAACCAGTTCGAAAATGCGTTGATATGTAAAAGATTTATTTTAATTAAAAAAAAAACTCGTATTGATACGTATTTTATTCAAATTTTCTTATTAAAGGACATATCAGACTGGTTGGGAACACGTTTTGAGCTGTGACCGATGCGTGGTATAACATTTGTAAAACATGTTTGGGGAAAATTGGAGACATGTGTCACCAAATGTAATGTAAACTTAATATTCCGTCCCAAAAGCATATCTCTTACTAGATTCACACGTGAATGGGAATTCCACAGTTGTCAAGCAATTTATAGTGTCTTTAGAATAAACTCAATGATGAATTCTAATACTTTTTTGTCTCATGTTGTGCTTATTACGAATCCATCTGTGTTTTCTCAAACAGAGTGTGTTATAGTGCATGCTAAATTGATTCTTAATACACAAAAACTAATGTTCTTTTAGATTGTAGTATATTACAAAAAAGGCTGTATAGTATTTCCACATGCATTGTAGAGGTATGATCTGAGACCTGTCAGTCTTAAAGAGTATTTTTATCAAATGGTACAAGTCTAAAACTATGAATGAATATGTATGTATGTACATTTTTTTTAAGGGCAGGAAATCATCGAATGTCTTCTCCCGCCTGGATGAGGCGGGAGGGAGTGTCAGACTCTTACTGACTAAAAGCAACCCCGTTCCTACTCCTGCACTTCGAGCCGGAGCCCCGGTAACCCGTTAGGTTCTCCGCGACTCCGTATCGGCATCAGCCCTATTGGGCCCCACCCGTGGTGGTCTGATGGCTCTTTGAGGCGTGCGCGGAACGCGACGCGCCGTACGCTCGAGTCTGGTTCTAGTCGGGCGGCCAGCCACCCATGCTCGCCGTCCGCAGGCCCGCGCTTACATTGGCCGGAGATCGTCTCGCGATCCCCGACGCCGGGAGTGTCTTTCGCGACGCATGTATGTACATTAAGTTCATAATCAGAAGCTGTAAGATTAAGCCTATAAAACAGGTCAACACGATACACATTAATTCGACCAACAAAATACACATTTCTATTATCAAAAGTCACATGTCGTCGTTCAGTATTATCAGTAATAAAGTAAATATTTATAAATGCACTTGGACTTAATAGGCCATTTAGAACAGACTATATTTGTCTGTTTTGTGTCGTATAATGAACTTGCTTTGTGCCGTGTGCTACACTACTGATTATATTATCAATGTTGTCTTAGTTGGTATCACTTTGGGGTGTGTATTTGTGTATTGTTTTTGTTTAAGCACGAGTAATGTGTTTTAAGATACTATTTAATTATTATTATTGTTCTGGTTGAAACCATACATCTCTGAGAGAGATGTAGGTGGCAGCAATATGTTTAGCCACGTGCTAGGCGTTTGAGAATTTCGACATACATACATCACATCACGCCTTTTATCCACTTTTCACTATTTATGATATGAGTCCCGTGTAATAGGGGGTGAACCTATTGCCATATACCGGGCACGATTGAGAATTTCGATTGCTTGGATAATATAGACAGTAGCTTCTGTAGCTGGCATTGATTTTGGTAAAGATTTATTGTTTGTCTGCCTCGTTGGCCAAGTGGAAGCAAGTGCAAGTAGTCTCGAATTCGATTCTCGGGTCGAGCAATGCCATAGTCATAATCATAACCACTTATTCACTTGGGAATATGGGTACAAAAGAAAAAGTCTTATATGAAGTCGGTTGACAAAATAGTGTATGAGTTTAAAAAAAGTCTCAGTAGTAGCACGAAGTCTAGAATCGTGCCCGGTATATGTCAATGTGGCTCACCCCCTATTACATGGGACTCGTAACATAAATAGTAAAAAGTGGGTGTTGTTTTGTACAGTGGCATTAAGTACCTCTGCATAGAATCTGTGTCGCAAGCAATGATTTTTTTGAACATTTTTTATATGAATTTATGTGTCAAACATGTAGTAAGAGCATATATATGTTTCTACTGTTCCTATTCTGGATATTGGTTTTAACTAGAAACAGCTAATGTTAAGAGTGATTCTGTTGAAGACCTAACTTATTTCTTAGCTCTTCAATTGTTAGCTTGTAATATGGATTTTCAAAATGAAACAAATAAATTAGAATAAAGAAATAAATGTTTATTCAATCATATTAACGGGTAGAAGTCCCACGTCTACTGGTCCACGTTCTTCTGACGTCATTCGACCGGTCTCAGCCACACTCGACCTGGGGGCAACGGAAAAACAACTTTTAGACTTTCTACTTAATATTGCTTTTAGAGTGACCGTTAATCGTATTGGCTTAGATGAGCTCGTTAACACAATATTAATGATTAACGTTAATAAAGATGGTAGATGATAGAGACATTTGCATGCAAAGAAATCTTTTAAAAATTGTATGCTAGTTAATGTTAATGCACATTTTGGGAACAGATAAATGGTGTTTGGAATCGTCTAAAGCTTTTGATAAGTTTAGCATCGTTTTATGTATCTAAATGTCGATGTGATTTAATACGTATGACTATGAATGTCGTATTGTAAAACTGTCGCAATTTTTTAATTACAGTTCCATTATAACAATATCTATAGTTTATATAGATACTTTACCAGTTACATTTAAAGCAAAATATCCTGATTCGCAGTTACAAAACGGATGCGCATGATCTCATTTTTTTCGCCATATGGAGCGATCTCTCTCATTTCATTATATAAAACTTCGCACATCCGCAATTCTATTTTTTCAATGTCAAGGAGCGTGAGAATCCATTGTTTTAGAGGTATTTAAAACCCGTTTGTTGGAATTTACATTTGTTGTTTTAAACGTTAGAGCGCAATTAATGGGGTCTGTAGCGAGATGATATTTTCTTAAAGCCATTTTAAATTCATCTAAATATTAACGAACAATTACAATGGACAAATCAACTCTATGTTAGATAGAAACTTTAAACGAAAATAATGATATCATCCCATCTAATGCAGAATTGTTTATCCAAATATTAGATGTTTTTGGCTTTACACATGTTTTAGTTGTAATAGCTTTCATTAGACAAATTAATATGCGACCTTGTGTATTCTAGTCGCAAATGTTGGTAGCAGATGTTTAGAATTCGTATTCACTTAGCGTTTGTATTGTAACCCAAACAATTAATATGTATTTCACTATCACATGTTGTGACTTTTTCAGGGAATGTTTTCCAAATAGTGACATTACTATAACAGTTTTGGAAGTGTCTCAATTAATGTAATTGAAGAAAATCGACAGCCCTCGTTTAAATTTTATGGAGCCAATGACAAATTGCGATTCTATCACTTGAATGGTCTTGATAACTTTTAGAATGTGAATTGATCATCAAACGATTTGATACAAGGGTAACTTTGCGACAGTATTTACAAATTGGAGAATGGATATGGACAGTAACTTTGAAGACTACATAGAGATATGGATAAAATGATATGAGTATGATGAAACTAATATAAAAATCACAAATACCAACCTGTTTTGAGAGTGTAACTGGCAATAATATTTCACTATCACAACACACACGATTGTTCTCTTCACCTCTTCTCGTTAAACTTAGGTTTGTAGTTGTAGTCCATGTTTGAAGACACCATGGATGATGTACTGCTGCTGGAAGACTTGGATAAATCCGTCTTCTTCCTGAAGCTTAGCCGGGTCTCGCCTCTCATGAAGCGGTCAAGAGCCTGCCTCAATGACGAGTGTTTCCTCTCGAATGGGTTTGTGTACATTTTGATTTGTTTAGAGTAAATTGTAAGGAAAAATTTCAACACGTCTGTTCGCTGCTAGCGTTCAATGAGTTGTGAGGTGTTGCACCTCCCACTTCTTATATATAACGATTGCGCGAGCGTTTAGGTCAGCGCGAGTTCAAACATTGGTCGGCCACAGACGTCATAGCGGCTTTTTGTTTTGATGCTCAGTAATTGGATGGTTCTTTATGATGAACGGGCGTGTCACTGACGTCCGTTTATTTTTTTTCTTCGTAAAAGTTGTGTCGGAGCGGTTTCGTTTTGTTTTCTGCGTCGCATTCTAGGGCGGCGTGTAGCGTGAGGTAATTATCAAAATAAGGATGTTTGTATCCTCTTTGACGTGTTTGATAACAACAAATTATGTGTTATGAAATGAAACGGATTCATTACCTCATCATCAATGGAAATTTTCTCATAGTGTTCGGGAAATCCTTACGTTATGCGTATCTTTTTAATTAACACGTTTTAGTATCTACATTGGGGTCTAGCAATGATATCATGGGCCTTTATTTGCTTGATGAGTGGTTTTGGGATTTCTTAGTATAAATCTATTTGAATCGGTTACAAGTAGAACCTAATTGTGTTGTTAATTGTTTTCATTATATTTGGGGCACTTCAAACTAAGACGTTGTAGTTTTAAATTTAATAGTCCAATCATCTATTCTTGTAATGAGATAAACGCAATCTTTATAGGTCATTAGGAAGTGAAAACGATGTGTAATGTTGAGTTCAATTATAATTGCTTTACATATTTGTATACGTTCAAGAATCTTCTTTATTCTTTAAAACAATTATGTTTTCTTCTAAGAAATCGATGTTCAATGAGATAGATAATTAAGAATAATTGCTATTCATCATAATTTATTATAATTATTGTTCTGTTTTCTTGCATAACCCGGTAAAAAATAAAGATTGGAATTACAATTGTCTTAGTCATAATACCTTTTATTAATTAAAAATACGAAGCTCCACACTAGGGTATTCTTCTGTGCGTTTACAAACATACAATATCACATACAAATGACACCCAGAACAGAAACAACAGAGAGCAATTGATAAAAAGCGGGTACTGGATCTGGCCTAGACCTTCGTTAACAGACATTATGCTTCGATTGAAAACAAATAATTTAAGATAATATACCAGCT